GGGAGGAGAGAGTGGAGTATGTGACTGTTAATGGTATGAGTTTCTTTCCGAAGTCATGAAAATATTCAGGGACACCATGCCCAGTTGAGAACAATCTGATGCTTACACAATTCTGTAAATATACTAAAAACCACTGAATTGTACATTTAAAAATAAAACCCTTGTTCTACCAGTCCACCCCCCCCCCACCTTTCTCCTGTTACGCCTTGTTATAGACTTCATAGAACCTCAGCATCCATTCTCTCATTTCTTGAAGATTTTAACTTCTGGTTCACTGTCACTCTTTCTAATATTTCTGCTGTAATTGTGCTCTTACTCATTCTACTTTTACTTCTCTTCCTGTGATACTATCCTTTACCCTACCATACCAACCCAAACCCATGGCTGTAACCTGAACCTTGTCATTACTGAGGTTACTCCTTATAATCTCAATTTCAGGAATCTTACACTCACCAACACCTCTTGTCGTTTCAGTTTATTCCTTCTTATACCCCATCTCCAATAATTCTGAGACCTAAAATCCACTGATCCTATAATATTTTCACTGTCCTTCACCGACTTCATGTCCTTATTTCCCTCCTTATCTGCCTGAATCCATGATCCCTCATTATAATTGCTCCCTTGCATCTTTTTCCTTCATCATACTGCAAAACTCAACCCTGCTTAAATCCAACTCTCCACGGATTCCATACCTGTATCTGTTGCTGGATGAGGCTGGTAAAAACACAATGCCAAGACTGCTTAACCTCAGGAAGGCCTCTAGTGCCATCACTACATTACACAAGTCTATTCACTCTCCGGCTCTATTAGATGACTCTACTAGATGACTACTTTACACCTCTCATCCTTTTGCCTCAATCCTCCATCCTTCTCTCCATTCTCATTCTCTGTACACAGAGAAAATAAAAACAATCAGCAGAGCACTTCCTCATGTTCCACTATGACATATAGCAATCTTCTACCCATTCCCGTATTTTCTATCTTCCCTTCTGTTACGGATGAATAGTCCAAGTGCCTAAGGTCAGCCTCTTCCAGCTACTAGACCCCATCCCTTTTCATCTACTCAAGGACATGGCTCCAACAATTGTACCCTCTCTTTCCTCTAACATCATTGCCCTCCCCCTAATAGAGTCATCAATACAACAAACATGCTAGAATATAGCCCATCAAAAAAAAAAAAACAAAAAAACCCTCTTGACCCCATATCCTTCCACACTCCTCCCAAGCTACAGCTCCATTTCTCTGCTGCCCTTATAGGAAAACTTATCCCTACAGGAAAGACTTAATTGTCTCCACTTTCTCTGTTCCCTTTCTCTTTCTCTCATTTCTTTACTCAATTCTTTTATTTTGAAAAATTCTGATTCTACCAAAAAAAGCTAAAAGAATAAGCATTTTATATTCTTCATTTAAATCCATCGATTGTTTACAATAATTAACATTTTACCACATTTGCTTTATTTCATTCTTTCTATATTATGCCTATGTACATATAAACACATACCCTTTTAGGGGAGGCTAAAGCTTCCCCCCCAAAGTAAGTTACAGACATTATGACATTTCTTCCTTAAATATTTCAACATGTATCTCTGAGAACTAATATACTATTATACCCAGGAAATCATACACTGATTTAATATCATCATTTAATATGCGATCCTATTAAAATTTTCTTAATGATCCCCAAAATGTCATTTATAACAGTTTTTTTCTTAATATAAGATCCAACTAAAATTCATGCATTGCTCTTGGTTATATCATTTCAATTTCCTGTACAATTCCCCCCTGGCTTTTGTCTACCATGACACTGACATTTTTGGAGAGTCCAGATCAGCTGTCTTGTAGAATATGCGATGTTCTGGATTTGTCTGATTATTTCCTCATGATTAGATTTAGGCTATTATTTTTTTTTTTTTTTTGGCAAGATTATTACATAGGTGATGCTGTGAAAATCAAATCCAATGCACATAATGTCAGTTTGTCCCACTGTGATGCTATATTTGATCATTTGGCTAAGATGATGCATGCCAGATCTTGCCTTTGTAAAGGTACCTTATTTCCTCTGTAATTAAATAATATGTGAGATGATACTTTCAGATCATGTGAATATTCTGCTCCCCAATGGCCTTTCACCTAATAGATTTTAGCATGACTTTTCTGAATCAATTATACATCATAAAATAAAAAATAGTCATGCCATCCACATTTGTTTGCTGGTATTGTTCTTGAAGAGCTTCCCCTCTCACTCCACTATTTTTTGTTTGTTTATTACTATGGTTTCATAGACTATTTTTCTTACTCAATATATTATAATCCATTACCATCATTATTCTTTTTGTTGTTCCAATTGTCCTAATTTGATCAGTGGGAGCCCCTTCAAGCCAGCTCTATGTTCTTTTGATATGTTTCCATGGGTTTCATGTACTTCCTTGATTTATGGCACAAGATGTCTTTCAGACTTGTTTTATACTTTTATTCTCTCCCTCTCAATCTCTCTCTCTCTCTCTCTCTCTTGACCTTCTCAGTCTTCTTTATTGGCTTCTCATTCTCTGACCTCTAAATGTGAGAATGTTTTTAGGCTCAATCTTCAATCCTCTTCCCTTCTGGATTTACTTCCTAGGAAACCTTATCCAGCATCATGGCTGGCTTTCCTTATGCTAATAACTCCCAAATCTTAGCCTAGATCTCTCTCTCTCTGAACTCCACTCATATTTCCATCTCTTACTCAACATCTGATTTGGTGTAAAAGATATCTGAAACCTGAAATGTCCAAAACCAAACCCTTCATTTTTAATTTTCTCTCCAAGTCAGCTCCTTCCAGTCTTCCCATCTCTTTAAATGGCAACTTCATCTTTCCATATGCTCAGGTTAAAAATCTTGGAATAATCTTTGGCCTCTTTTTCTCTTATATCTCATGTCCAAATTCATCAGCAAATCCTGTTAGCTCGACTTTTGAAATATATATAAAATTTGACTCTTTCACACCATCTCTACCACCACTACTACCCTCATTCAATCTACCATCTTCTTTGTATAGATGAATTCAATATAACTTCTTAACTGATCCCTGGTTCCCTACTCTTACCCCCAGGCTATTCTCAATACAGCTAGAATGACGTTTTTTTTTTTTTTTGAGACAGAGTCTCACTGTGTTGCCCGGGTTAGAGTGCCGTGGCGTCATCCTAGCACACAGCAACCTCAAACTCATGGGCTCAAGCGATCCTCCTGCCTCAGCCTCCGGAGTAGCTGGGACTACAGGCATGCGCCACCATGCCCGGCTAATTTTTTCTATATATTTTTAGTTGTCCAATTAATTTCTTTCTATTTTTAGTAGAGACGGGGTCTCGCTCTTGCTCAGGCTAGTCTCGAACTCTTGAGCTCAAATAATCCATCCGCCTCGGCCTCCCAGAGTGCTAGGATTACAGGCGTGAGCCACCTCGCCCGGCCTAGAATGACGTTTTAAAATGGAAAGTAGATCCCCCTACTCTTCTCAATACTTTCCTATGGCTTCCCTTTTCACTTAGAATGAAAGCTAAAGCCCTTACAAAAGTCCTCAAGTCCCTATACAATCTGGCTTCCTGTCTCCTCTCAGACCTCATTTCCAACTGCTCTCCCTGTCTCTCACTTGTTCCTTAAACATGCCAGGCATATTCCCAGTTTAGGATTTTTGCATCTAGCTGTTTCATCTGCCTAAAGTACTCTTTCCCCAGATTTACACATGCTTTCTTCCTTACTTCCTTAGGGTCCTCTGTTTACAGTTGGGGAAAACTGTATAGAATAGGAGAGGAGATACAGGCATCTAACAGCTTCTCGAACAGCTTTCAATCAATTCTCCTTATTTTAGCATCACCCCTTCACCTCTAGTATCCAGAGTTTTGAGAAATCTCCCATATAATAAACAGGATTCATTCATTCCCTGTTTACATGGGAGCCCATCCTGTAGGCTTAAAACTTAAAAAACAAAACCAAAAAACTCAACACTATAGTCAGGCTTTGACAGGGAGCAAAATGTGATGTATATGTTATTCTGCTATCTTAATGTAGATGCTTTTAATTCATTTCATTTTAAAATACATATGCAACAAGGCACTTTCAGAAAGGCAAAATATTTTATAAAAACAAGAAAAGCAATACAAATTTTAAAAAGATAAGTTCACAAATATAAAAACTAATAGTTGAGTATTTTTTATTATTCTCTTCTTATTTTTCATATATTATACATTTTTAATGTATTCAGTATTTAATAAAAACAGGATACTATCACCGAATCCATTGTTCTATTTGTGGCAATTCCAATTCATTTGGTCTTATAAGAGACTACCATATTTTCAAAAAAGCAGAACCCTATTCATTATTTTAAAAAAATAAAATTAAAAGAAAAGGCAACCAAGCTCCATTTATTACAGACATCATTCCAGGACATCATTTTTTTCCTTTTTTTTTTTCAGACACAGTCTCACTCTCTTGCCCTTGCTAGCATACAGTGGCGTCATCATAGCTCACTGCAATCTCAAACTCCTGGACTCAAGCAATCCTCCTGCCTCAGCCTCCTGAGGAGCTGGGACTACAGGCGTGTGCCACCACGCCTGGCTAATTTTTCTATTTTTAGTAGAGACTGCGTCTCGCTTTTGCTCGAGCTAGTCTTGGACGCCTGAACTCAAGCAATCTGCCCGTCTCAGCCTGCCAGAATGCTAGGATTACAGGTGTGAGCCATTTTGCCTGGCCAGGACATCCTTTTAAAATCTGAAGTGCCCAATGAGCTGTACCTACAGAAAAATAAATTAAGCAGTGGTCTTTCTCACTTACCTATGTTTAGGTCTAATTTACTCTAAGTGAAAAAGGTGATTTTAAAGCATATCTTTTTATACCACCAGATAAAGCAATAGAAAGTATACATCAACCACAACCACAACAATGACAAACAACATAATTATCAGAAATATATTATCATTGCTGTTATTATAGCAACCTTCTACAAACTTAGCAATTAAAAGCAAACTTACCTGTCTAAGAATATATCTGGGAGTGGTGGATAGGTCTGCATGTCAGGCACTCGCTCGTGGACTATAACCATAATGAAAGATGTAAATCCAAATACTATAAAAACATATATACAACTCAGTATGGTCTTCCAGTATTCTGGGTCCAATCTTCGAACAGAATGTTTGTTTTTCCCATTCATGTACTGGTACTGATCGGAGTTCAAGTCCGTGATGGGTCCGTCACAGTCATGTGAAAGCTCCCCATTACAAAGCCAGTCTGCACTCTGAAGAGAACTGATGAAAGGGGTCATGGAACCCATGGGACTGTCACTGTTGTAGCCCATCTCTTCTAAAACATCGATATGTACTTTTTGCAATTTTCGGACTGAGAGCATTAACCTTTTAATGTCCCCTAAGACTTTGATTTCCAGAGGAGGAGACCGGAGATCATATTCAGTCAGTGTTAGCAATGTGATTCCATCAAGTCGGTGCTTATTGCATAAAACATCCACATATTCAAAAAAGCCTTCATCCTTCAGCCACACAGCTACGTGCTTGGTAGTCCAGCGGCGAATGCAGAGTTGATTAGGACCTGCCATTTCCCCCTCTACTGCCTGTCAAGCAAAAACAGGAAAACAAAACAAAAACTTTAGTGTGTCCTAATAAGTTCTTCAAAGACTAAATACACATAAACATATCAGAAACAGTAATTACCTAGACTGTCCTATTGGCTTCTAGAGTGAAAGAAAAAAATATTCAATAATGAGTGGTTTTCAATAGACTAACATTCTAATAATCTTATGCACATAACCCCAATAGCAGAAGAAAAGCTAATGACCAAATATTTTTACAGAAAGATATTTTACGAATGGCTTTTCCACAGCATATGAGCCACAACTTAGTTAAAAAGCCTACTGTTGAGAACAGTTCAGAAAAATCCCATTTTAATACTTTTCATAAAATTAAGATATTTAGCCAAGTGCAGTGGCTCATGCCTATAATCCTAGCACTTTGGGAGGCCAAAACAGGAGGACTGCTTGATGCCGGGAGTTTGAGAACAGCCTGAGAAACATAGTGAGACCCCGTCTCTATGAAAAACAGAAAAATTAGCCAGCCGTGGTGGCGTGCACCTGTAATCCCAGCTACTCAGGAGGCTGAGGCAGGAAGGTCATTTGAGCCCAGGAGTTTGAGGTTGTAGCAAGCTATGATGATGCCACTGTACTCTAGCCCGGGCAACAGACAGAGACTCTATCTCAAAAAAAAAAAATTACAATATATAGAAAGATTTGTTATATGCAAAAAAAAAAATCAAACCTTCATGGTTATGGAAAAAGTACCTCCCTACCTGGGGAGAAAAAACATAAAAGCAAATAGATAACTGTAATTCCAGGAAACCCTTTAGATTAAGGATATTTCTAACTACTATACACATGATTTCTATAACCAATATAAAGCCTTTAAACTAGATATAAATTTGAATTAATAATAGCTCAGTTCTTTCTAGCATTTCATTCTTAAACTATCACTGGGATTTTTGTGACAAAATTTTTAAAAGAAAACTGTCACTTCAATATACTCATAAATGTGATTACCCAAATTTTATATTGCAGTTATAAAAGCCAACAATGTGCTATGTTTTAAAAAGTACTAATAATTTCTACTACTTTGATCCCACACAGCTCTGTTTATGGTCTTTTTCTATTGTAAAACTTCTAGTTACCTGAGCCTATATAAGTTTTATAAAGTATATCAGACAAAAGGGAGACAAACGCCTACGTAGGAAAAAACACTGTTTCTCAAAAGTACTTTCTCAACTATTGAAGCCTGTGGGTTTTCTGACATTTTCCAGATCTCTAAAGGTTATATTTCCTTCTGAGATGATTTTTAAAAATATGATAGGCAAACCATAAAGCATAAAAAAAAGAATAAAGAATGATACAATGAACATGTATGTGCCTACTACCCTGCTTGAAAAAAATCAGTTACAATACAAATGGTCTGTTTTCTAATGTTGCTATTAGTTATACAAACACGTTCCTTTTGTGAAAATTCATCAAGCTGTATACTTAAGATCTATACTTTCCTCTATACATGTTAAACTTTACTTTAAAAGTTTACTCTCAGCCAGGCGCGGTGGCTCACGCCTGTAATCCTAGCACTCTGGGAGGCCGAGGCGGGCGGATTGCTTGAGCTGAGGAGTTCAAAACCAGCCTGAGCAAGAGCGAGATCCTGTCTCTAAAAATAGAAAGAAATTAATTGGACAACTAAAAATATATAGAAAAAAAAAAAATTAGCCGGGCATGGTGGCGCATGCCTGTAGTCCCAGCTACTCGGGAGGCTGAGGCAGAAGGATTGCTTGAGCCCAGGAGTTTGAGGTTGCTGTGAGCTAGGCTGATGCCATGGCACTCACTCTAGCCCGGGCAAAAGAGTGAGACTCTGTCTCAAAAAAAAAAAAAAAAAAGTTTACTCTCAAAACAGAACATCGATATAAATAAATAACCTTCTATCCTCAAGGACAAACAAAAGTTCTTCAGGATGCTCTGATAGTAACCTCTTTCTCTCCTCCCAGATGCGAAACACTCCTGATCTGTGTGTTTATCATTGCCTTATAACATGCGTTTTTGGCTATGAAAAACCTTTCTACACTTCCTTATGTTGAATACTGCTCTGCATTCTTCCCCTATCCACACAAACTCTTTCCATGAAGACTTACAATCATTCAGCAAAGGCAGACACTTTAACTACATGAGCACCACTTGCATCATCAAAACTATTCAGAAAACAAGAAAGATGCTTGAGAAAATTCACCCACAGATGAATGTCATGAAAATGCCAGTTAATCCTTAAGTATTTATTTCTTAATTACTAAAAAGCAATCCTAGCTTTTGGAAGGCTTAAATCATATTTTGTTTCCAAATAGAGCTTTTAATATTATCAACCCACATAGTTTTTTAAGTCTTTGAAAATTAACATCACATCCATCTACAAGGAGTCGTATTTTTTAAAAAGTTGTCTAATTCTTACATACTGTAGAGTTACAAAAACTGTTGTTCAACTCTTTTTAGCTATAGTATATCATCACCACCCCAAAGGTCAAAGAATTATGATTTTCTCACTTTAACATGTGAAATTTACACATTACTATATTATATATTGTTTTATATCATTTATCATATATCATATATAAAATTCCATTAAAAACACGACTTTGCTATGTTTTAAATCATACACATAACTAGATGATTTCACCGTACCTACTACATACATATCTTCCTTCTTTTCCCCAAAGTATGTTCTGATTAAATTGCTTCACCCTTGGATATCCAATAAGCACATGCTACAAACTCTCTAGAAGTCATGAAGCAGCAAATCTGAGAAAGAAGCTCCTTTCATACAAAATATGGCCAGATTTCTTCAGTCATTTTATTTCTATTCTGCTACCTTTCCCCTTTCTCTAACAGCTTACCACCAATGGATTCCATGTCACTCCCATCCTTGTAGCATTATTCTTTAGCACAGTTTCATCTAATACTCTGCTCAAAATTATTCTTCTCTTCTTTCATGGTTTTCTTTTTTCCTGTCTTAGCTTACCAGTTCTTTACAACCTCAACCAGGCTAACAGGCTTTGATGCTGACGTTTTAGCTGCGAGAAAATATGAGTTAGCATACATGGAAGCCTCCTGGAAGTCTCTGAGCCTGCTGTGGGAATGCCCTAAAAGCATGAAACACTCCACTGTTCTGCTTCATCAGGTCAGTGCATGTCCTTTAATTGTATGCTACTACATAATAGAGGCCCATACTAAATCACTACTTAGCTAACATTGTGAAAGCCTACATTAAAGAGGTATATTAAAAGATGATAAAAAGCTTTAGGCTTCATTTAATATTTATGTTATGCCATAGGAATTACAGGGAACAAGAGACTTTGAATGAAGAATATGACAGATACAGATTCACACACATTGATAAAATAAGGAAATTAGGTTAGTAAATGTTTAAGAACATTAAGAATTCAGCTTTAACCAATAATTGATACAAATAAAATATTAGTTAAAGGGACATCTGCTTCTGGCCAAGATGTACTAACAAGGACCAGATTTATACTCTGACTTCAACCAACCAAAAAAAAGACAAAATGCGTGGAAAAAAAAAAAGTTTCAAGACATTGGACATCAGACAAATCCCTGAGAGATAGGAAACAAATAAAGTAAGCCCTACTGCCCTAGCTTACTGCCTTGAGAGCTTCCCAAGGCACAAGAGATGCAGTGTGGGAAACCCAGGCAAGGCCTGGCAGACTCAAGGAATTGAGGAGATGGAGCTCAGAGTCTGAGGTGATCAAAGTAGCTAGTGTTTGTGGGACAAAATACTGGAGAGGAGAGAGCTACTAAGACTCCAAGGAACTCCAGAGATCTACATAAGGTCTCTCTTGAATAATTAGCTGAATGCTGATCAGCACATGTATGTGAGGAAACTAACCAAGACTGAGGCAAGACCATCCAAAAGGATTCCTAGCACTCACACAAGGCCAAGCAAAATGCCTATCCGGAAAAAAAGCCAGACTAAAAAAAAGTCTCATGATTCATGGGACTTTGTGGAGAGTGCACAGAGAGATCTTGCCAGAGTAGTTTTGCTGGCAGTTTTCAACTAGGGGCAATTCTCCTCTCCTCCCTGGGACATCTGGCAATGTCTAGAGATATCACAACTGGCGGCTATGGAGGGGCTGCTACTGGCATCTAGAGTATAAGCCAGGGATGCTGTTAAATATTCTATTAATGCACAGGACTACCCCCTTGCCCAGTGAAGAATTATTTGGCCCAAAATGTCATGGTGCTGCTATTGAGAAACCTTATCCCAGACTAAACATGTCTTTGGTCCAGCCTAACAAGTCTTTTTTTCTTTCCTTTTTTTTTTTTGGAGATAGAGTCTCACACTGCCGCCCCAGCTAGAGTGCAGTGGTGTCATCATAGCTCACTGCAACCTCAAACTCCTGGGCTCAGGCAATCCTCCTGCCTCAGCCTCCCAAGTAGCTAGGACTATAGGCATGTACCACCACGCCCACCTAATTTTTCTATTTTTTTGTAGAGACAGGGTCTCACTCTTGCTCAGGCTGGTCTTGAACTCATGAGCTCAAGTGATCCTCCCGTCTTATCTAGGATTATAGGCATCATCACGCTTGGCCTCTCAGCCTAACAAATCTTAAAAGGAAGACTCAAAAAGATCAAATTGTTTTCAAGTAACTTAACTGCATCCCACAACAAATCTCAAGAATATTAATAGAAGTATTCAGAACCCAACAAAATTCACAATGTCTGGCATCCAGTCAAAGATTATCAAGCATGCAAAGCAGCAGGGAACTATCACTTACAATGAAGAGAAAAATCAATCAATCAAGATCACCCCAGAACTGACAAAGATAATAGAATTGGAAGATAAGGAAATTAACAGTTATGATAATTGTGTATTACATATGTTCACAAAGTTAAATAGAGAAACAGACACATAAAAAGACCTAACTCAAACTTCTAGAGATAAAATGACATTATGAAAAATATGCTGGATGAGATTAATAGCTGATCAGTCATTACAAAAGATAAGAGCAATAAATGTGAAACAA